TGGAAAGTGAGCATGTAACTTTCAGTTTTAAGTATCTTATAACTTTCTTAGCTGCTTTCCAATGCTCTTGCCCTGGATTCAACTGAAACCTATTGAGAACACTGACTGCATAACCTATATCCGGTCTAGTGCAAACTTGAGCATACAGCAAACTCCCCACAACACTAGCATATTGAATTATCTTCATAGATTATATTTCTAACTCATTCCTTGGACATTGAGTTTTGTTAAACTTATCCCTTTTTATGATAAGTACATCATCTGGTGCACATTTCTTCATACTGAACATTTCCAGAAAACGCCGTATATAAGCCTTCTAAGAAAGACCCAAAACACCACGACTTTTGTCACGATATATTTCAATGTCAAGCACATAAGTAGATTCTCCAAGATCTTTCATTTCAAAATTAGCAAATAATATTTTCTTTGTCTCATGATGTAACCCTAAGACACTGCTAGCAAGTAAAATATCATCAACGTGTAGGACAGGATAAATAAAATTTCTCCCACTGATTTTTAGATATGTATATTGATCAACTTTATTTTCAACAAAATCAAGACAGTCACAACCTTATCAAACTTCAAATACCACTGTCGAGATGCCTGTTTGAGACCATATAAGGATTTATTCAACTTGCATACCAAATTTTCTTTTCCCTTAATAACAAAACCTTCAGGTTGTCTCATGTAAACCCTTTCCGAAATATCTCCATTCAGAAATGTCGTCTTAACATCCATCTGATGAAGTTCCAAATTATAATGTGCCACAGTGCCATGATAATTCAAAAAGAATCTTTGGACGAAACGGGTGAAAAAGTTTCATTATAATCAATGCCCATTCGTTGAGTTTGCAACCAATCTCGCCTTTTGAGTCCAATTTGCTTTTGAAGACCTACTTGTTATCTATGACTTTAGAATCCAGATGAAGTTCTACAAGTTCCCAAACTTTATTATGTTCCACAGAATTCATTTCATCTTCCATAGCATTTATCCATTTATATGACTCAAGACTTGTCATGCTTGATTAAAAGTAATAGGGTCAACAATATGCTCAATATTAAAATCACTTTCCAACAAATATGTAATGTAATCACTGGGATTGGTAGACCTTCCCTCCCTTTGCGATCTCCTAACTTGTGGCTCAGGATCTAACTCAATTGTTGTTGGTGGAGGAATCTGGAGTTCTTCTAGGTGCCCAGATTCTTCATTAACAATTTCAGATGGTTGAGTTACAACTCTCTCCTGTATAACAGAAATTGGAACAACAACTGGATTTGGTTCAACAAAAATTCCTTCAACGTTGAACTCCCATTATCATCAAAATCATTTTCCAAAAATTTTGCAGTGATTGACTCAACAATCCCGGTACCACGGTTTGGACAATAGAACTTATATCCTTTTGATCTGTCTGGGTACCCAATAAAGTCGCCAGTAGTGGATTTTAGGTCTAATTTTTTTTTCAAATGGATTATAAATTCCCACATCAACTGGACATCCCCAAACTCTGAAATGAGTCAAACTTGGCTTACGTCCTGTCCACAACTCGAAAGGTGTCTTTGCAACAGCTTTGCTCGAAACTTTGTTCAAAATTACATAGCAGTTTTCAAGGCTTCACCCCATAAATATTTTGGCAAATTTGTTCTACTCATCATGCTTCTGACCAGGTCTTTAAGAGTCCGATTACGTCGTTTAGAGACGTCATTCTGTTCAGGTGTCCCTAGCATGGTGTATTCAGGCACTATGTCACACCCTTGTAAAAACTTTGTAAAATCACCCACTTTTTGACCAGACTACTCATACTTCCCATAGTACTCACCACCCCGATCATATCTTACAATTTTGATTCTTTTTCTACATTGTTTCTGTAGCGACCGCGAACTTTTA